GAGCCCAGCAGGTCGAGGCTGCGGTGACCGGAAGCGGCCACTGCACTCCAGTCTGGGTGACAGAGTGAGACTCCAACTAAAAAATAATAATAATAATTCGGTTGGGCGCGGTGGCTCATGCCTGTAATCTCAGCATTTTGGGAGGTGGAGGTGAGGGGATTGCCTGAGCTCAGGGGTTCGAGACCAAACTAAGCAACATGGCAAGACCTCGTCTCTACAATAAATCAAAAAATTAACCAGGCATGGTGGCGCACACCTGTGGCTCCACCTACTCGGAAGGCTGAGGCAGAAGGATCACTTGAACCCAGCAGGCTGAGCGAGGCTGCGGCAACTGTGAGCGTGCCACTGCACTCCAGCCTGGGCAACAGAGTAAGACTTTGGCTCAAAAAAAATTTTTTTTAATTCATGTAAACTTAAAACATTTTAGGAAAATCACACAAAACCTTTGCTACATATCCTTCTAGTCTTTTCTCCCTGTGTTTGCACAATACACATGCCTCTCTGAAGCACAGAGATGATAGAACCCACTTATTAAGTAGGTTCTATTCAGGTATGTGCCAGGTTTGGTGGTTCATGCCTGTAATCCCAACAATTCAGGAGACTCTGGCAGAGATCACTTCAGCCCAGGAGTTTGAGGACTAGCCTGGGCAACACAGTGAGACCACGTCTCTACGAGAAAAAAATTTTTTTAATTAGCCAAATGTGGTGTCACATGCCTATAGTTCCAGTTACTTGGAGGCTGAGGCAGGAAGACCATTTGAGCCCAGGAGGTTGAGGCTGCACTGAGCCATGATTGCACCACTGTATTCCAACTTGGGTAGCAGAGGAAGACTCTGACCAAAAAAAGGCAGTTTTTGTAGATGAAATGAAACTGTCCTGAGGTGAAGTGGGTTGTCTCAGGAAGCAATGAGCTGCCCCTCACCTAAAGTGCTAAAAAGGGGGACCATGAGGGGTTTTGCCAAGGATGAGATGAGAACATGAAGAATTGAAACAATTTTCTTTTCTCTCCCCAGAATGAGAGAGATTGGAAAAATAACAATTTAACCTGGAATTCATTTGGTTAGCTTTTGTGTGTGTGTGTGTGTGTGTGTGTGTGTGTGTGTGTGTGTGTGTGAGTTGGAGTCTCAGTCTGTTGCCTAGGCTGAAGTGCAGTGGCATGCTCATGACCACTATAACCTCAACCTGCTGGGCTCAGGCCTCAGCCTTCCAAGTAGCTGGAACTATAGGTGTGCATCAACATGCCTGGTTAATTTTTTATTTATTGTAGAGACAAGGTCTTGCCATGTTGCCCAGGCTGGTCTCAAACCCCTAGGCTCAAGCAGTTCTCTCACCTCTGCCTCTCAAAGTGCTGGGATTATGGGCATGAGCCACCACACCTGACTGGTTAGCTCTTTCTTAATCTTTTTTTTTTTTTCTGAGTTGGAGTCTCACTCTGTCACCCAGACTGGAGTGCAGTGGCCGCTCCCGGCCACCGAAGCCTCAACCTGCTGGGCTGCAGCGATCCTGCCTTCTCAGCCTTCCGAGTAGCCGGAATTACAGGCATGCACTACCACGCCTGGCTGATTTTTTGATTTATTGTAGAGATGAGGTCTCGCCAAGTTGCCCAGGCGGGTCTCGAACCCGCGGGCTCAGGCAGTCCACTCACCTCAGCCTCCCAAAGGCGCGGGATTACAAGCTGAGCCACCGAACCTGGCATTCTTTCTTAATCTTATACCTGTCCCTGCTATGCATGCTGAATCGTGGTTAAAACCAAAGATCTAAATGGAAATCTATAGAGATATTGCAATATATTAGCTTCGGGTATGTTGTAAAAATGTGGAAAATGCATTTCCACAACAAAATGAAATAAGGTTTATACAGAGTTGTGTAGTGGTGTGTTAAGTTTCTTAATGAAAATCCCTCAAACCTAGTGTACTTGCTCCATGTGTCCTAAACAGAATAATATGCCTTTTGACAATTGAGTTGTTGTTGTTGTTTGAGTCAATTCTCACTCTGTCACCCAGGCTAACAGAGTGGCATGATCACTATCACAACTCACCATGGTCTCAACCTCCTGACTCAGGCAGTCCTTCCACCTCAGCCTCCTGAGTAGCTGGGACTACAGCCTTGTGCTACTATGTCTGGCTAATTTTTTTTATTTTGTAGAGCTGAGGTTTTGCTATGTTACTCAGGCTGATCTTGAACTCCTGGGCTCAAGCGGTTTGCCCACCTTGGCCTCCCAAAGTGCTGGGATTACAGGCATGAGCCACCATGCCCAGTCACTGGTGTCTTTATAAGAGGACAGATGCACAGGGAATAAGGTCACATGAAAGAGGCAGAAATAGGAGTGATAAAGCTAAAAGCCAAGGAAGACCAAGGGTTGCTAGGAGCCGCCAGAACCTGGAGGAGTCAAAGAAGATTTCTTCCCCAGAATCTTCCGAGGAAGCATGGCCCTGCTGACACCTTGCTTTTGGGCTTCTGGCCCTAGAACAGTGAGAGAATAAGTTTCTGTTGTTTTAAGCTACCCAGCTTGCGGTACTGTTATAGCAGCCCTAGGAAACTAACACAAGCCGATGCAAACATTTTGGGGTCATCTTTTTACTGTCATCTGTCATGATCATGTTTTTCCTTCCTTAAACTCTCTCTGGGGGCCTTTTGATCCTATCCTGTCCACTCGAAGGCCCATACCATGAGGGTATTGCCAGACTCATTCTCTTTAAATGAAACTGATAAATATCCCCCCCCAAAAAAGGAATGAGGAAGAGTTATGTGATCAGACATGGTAAGATCTC